ACAGTGTGACATCTCAGTATATACAATTAGCTTGTCTTCACTAGCCAATTATGGAAGAAAACCATTAGGAGACATCATTTAATGAAACACATGCCGAGAAATCGTAAAATGTTTTCAGAATGTGTTTATTTACACCAGTCAAACATTGTGGATCTTAACAGTTGCGTTTGGTCATATTTCCAAACCATGATGGATACCAGTAAAAGGAACCAGTTATTTGCTAGAAAACTTTCAGAGGACAACAAACCCAGCCGACAACAGAAATCGACAAGAATTCTTAGTTTTATTGAATTAACCAGCACTCTAAAGACAATATAGACTTATTCAGGTGAATTCAGGTTCATTCTGCTATGAAATAAATTGTCTTTTCCCAGCCAAATAAGGTAAATCCTTATGCTATTTAAGATAAATCCTTATGCTATTTATCCATATAAATGGGATCCTCGTAACAGAGGGTCCTGGTTGCGCTCGGGACCCAAGAGCTCACCTGACAGGGTTAAAATGGGGGTGGGAGGAGCAGGAAGTCCTGGCCATTCCCCTGGGATCATGCCAGGCTGTTTTAGCCAATAGCCAGTAGGTGGCATGATTTCAGGGGCTTTAAAAGCAGCAGTGTGATGCAAGTGGGGCACTTGCATTTGCACGGCTGAACAACTTGTAAGGTGGCGGTTAGGCATTGGCTCAGTTGGAGTGTGGGGAGGGGAGGTGCGGCCATCACCTGCCCTTCCAGGAATTGGGTATTCCATTAAAGGAATCTGGGGGTCCTGGATCTTGTCCGAAGTCCGCTTGAGGGGCTAGAGCCATGCCAGGACCACAGGAACCCGGGGTGAGCTTAGGTTGGTCCTCATTGACCTTGCTCCCTCATTTGGTTTACCCCATTGGACGATCACCCTGAGAGGTGGAGCCAGTTATAGTGGGGAGTCAATGCCTAAGCCAATACCGCTCACGTGATTGTATTTCAATAAAGTTGTGGCCAAAATTTGCTCCAAAACTTAAACTAATATAAGTGTCTGTGTGTATTTATTTTGGGGGTAGGTCTTGGGGCCTCGAGACGCAACCATGCTTTTCTGTACTGCGCTCTTTTAAGAATATTAAAAGACCCTGCTGGATGTTGCCAGTGACCCATCCAGTCTAGCATCCTCTTCCTATAGTGGCCAGCCAGATGATGCCTTGACTTGAATGCAACAAGACTCTCACCATAAGCAATTTCAAGCAACCAGTATGGAAAGACTGCCTCCAATAGTGGAGGAAGAGCATAACCTTCACTGTCAGTAGCCTTTCTAATGTATCGTAGGCCTTCTCGGCATCCTTTTTAAAAAACAACACAGTGCCTATGTTTTATTTATACAGTCAATAATATTAAGCATTCTTCTGTTATTTATTGTTAATGTCCTTGCTTTAATACAGTCTGTTAGATCACCATTATCGGGGAATAATCTTATTTTGGTTTATTTGCCAATGTTTTAGTTAAAACCTTATACTCAAAATTTAATAAAGTTATAGATCTATATGCATTTATGTTTTCCTTATCTTTTCATTTTTTATGTATTGAAACTATTTTCTCTCAGTGTCCATTACTGTGGCATAATCCATCTTCAATGTATTTCATTCAGTCCATTTGTTAAAGGTTGTTCCAAAATTTCTTGAAAAGCCTTCAAATGGTCTGCAATAAATCCATTGTGACCTAGTTTTTCCATGTTTTGAATTGTTCAGCTTGAATTGTGTTGTGGCTGAATGTATCTTATTACTGTACAGTTTATTTCTTCTAATCATTATCTCTTTTCTTCAGTCAAACATTGCAAATACATTTGCAGCAAATAATTTTTATATAAGTTATTTTAGGAAACTGATTGATCTCATGAGATTTTTTAAAAAATCATAAACCTTCTAATTATGTCTTTGTCATCTATAGTTATGTGACCTTTATATTATTTATATTGGCTATTAATGTGTTTCCCCCTTTTCTCTTAATTCTGTTACTGAATAATTTGCTGATCCTATCTCCATGTTTAAAATACTTCTGTGGCTGTTATTTCTTAGTGAGCATGCACTGGATTATTATTTTTTAAATTTTTAAAAAAGTAAATGTGACAAATGAAATAGATATATGTATGCTAAGTTATACATTATGAATTTTATTTTGTTAAATCTGTAAAATGAATTTAGGTCTAATAAGAAAATAACTGTTACACATAATTCATTTCTCCCCACCCCCTACAAGGCCCTTTTATTTAACACACCAGTTAAACAAATAAGAGGGAAGATTGGAAGGACCAGTGTAATAGATGTTGTGCTGAGACACTGGCACTGGCAACAGCAGAGCCGCTACGGAATAATCCAACCACTGCGTATTTTTCAAAGAGATGTCACTGCTATCCACTTTTAATTATGGATTGGAAGATCAGGGGAGAAATTAGGCGGTGACACTCTACACCCACATTGTAGAGCTATCTCATGCTTCAGCGTAGTTAAATAGGCAGTACTGGTTTCCAGTTCAGTCGCTAACATAAATTCGCTTAAGTCTGAAAATGGAAGACAACAGGCTGCTTACATTTTGCCAGTAGCTGTCTTCATATATACCTAATGGCTCTGGGCTGGCTCCTAAGCCTGAATACCAGTGCAGGTAGAGCAGAATTGCTAGTGCGGTGTCTACCTTTCTAGTGGCTGCCATCTTTGGCAGCTGTTCATAAATTCTGGGTTGCCTCTATTCCTGTGCAGACCTACGCATTTGTATCTATCTATTTATACTTGTATCTAGCTATTGTTTATTGTTGTGTTAAAAATCTGAGTAAATTTGATACTAAAAACAAACCAGAAATAGGAGCCTTGTGTCTCCCGTCCCTTCCCCCCGTTGCTGTGTCTCCTTTTTCAGTAACATCTAATAAAGCAGGCATAGGCAAACTCGGGTCTCCAGATGCTTTGGGACTACAACTCCCATCATCCCTAGCTAACAGGACCAGTGATCAGGGATGATGGGAATTGTAGTCTCAAAACACCTGGAGGGCCGAGTTTGCCTGTGCCTGTAATAAAGCAAGACTTGTCATTTCATCCAGACTCCCAAGTTCCTCTGCCCAGCAAGTGGTTGCTGATGAAGTACAATGGAGATAGGAAACTTGGAGCATGATGATGTAATGGCAGGGCTGGCCAAAGGTGTCTTGTAGCCAAAGGTGAAGGACAAGATGACACTCCCTTCCAGTTCCACATACAGAAGCCAGCTAAACTGGCAGCTGAAATACATTTCAACACTGGCAACATGGCAGCATCCTCTACCACACCTCAGCTCAGCAGGTTGGCTGAGGCGTTGCAAGGCACTACCACTGCCTCACCCCCCCCAAATCTGCTGGCTGAGGCAGCCACCTCATTGTGCCTAATGGTAAGGCTGTCTCTGTGTGATGTCACAGGATTTATAGAAATATAGAATATATAGTTAGAAGAGGCCCCGGGGATTATCTAGACCAAGGTTTCTCAGACATGGGTCTCCAGTTGTTTTTGGACTACAGTTCCCATCATCCCTGACCACTGGTCCTGTTTGCACAGGATGATGGGAGTTGTAGTCCAAATAAACAGCTAAAGACCCACGTTTGGGTCCAACCCGCTGCAGTGCAGGATGATGCAGCTGAATTACTAGATATTGAAGAGAAATGAGAATAAAGAGATTTGGGCCTGCTCTTTTTGGTAGCAGCCACAGATCCTCCACGGCTTTAATATCAGCCAAAGTTACTTGTTTTGTAATGACAATAGGCATCGGCATGTGTTACTGGGGCAATGACAATCTGCAGTAGCTGGAAACAACTTACTTAAAAAGGGTGTCTGGATTATGGAATCAAATTAAAATGTTCCCTCTGAATTGATGATCAAAAAACTTGCCCATCATTACTGTACCATTTCTTTGGGTGCACAGCTTTTTGGACTTCTTTGTGCACTGATGCATCTTGCAACTGATTAGCACTTTGTTTTTAAATGAGGAAATAAAGGATAACGAGTGGCGATTTAGAGCTGCTGTATATAGAGAGCGTAACTGACTTGGCAAATGTTCTGTTTTGCCATGACAGGTTAACCTCGAGTCTTTTCTTTATAGTTGCCTATGAATAATGGCATTGATAGTATAAGCTGAAATGTACATTTTGCTATAAATCCCATATTTATAGTGTTTTATACATGCATGCCATAGCATTTGGGCAAAGCATGTATTAAAAGCCTAATGACTTAACGTTAGTGTTCGAAATATTTATAGAAAATATTGTTCTGGATGCCAAATTTCTGGGCAAATATTCCAGCATCCTCTTCAAATAGATAAAACCCTTTCAGTTAAAGTCCAGAAGTCACTGTGGTGTAAACAGTCATATTGTGTGTGTATTGTTACATATATACTCCTGTGCCCAAGCAGTGAGATTTTCAGGAGTGGCAGCACATAGTTCAAGTTTGTCCAGGGATTTTAACTTCTCACTTTCAGCAGACAGCTACTGGAAATTAATGGTTTAATCACTCTTTCATCCCAAGTGTGGTATTTTAATGTTGCTCTGCTGCTATTTAAGATATGGATATTATAAATTGTGTGTTTGTTTGTTTGTTTGTTTGTGTGTGTGTGTTACAGTTTTAGCCACTTTGAGAATTTGGCATGGACGTAAAAGCAAGTTAAAAGAAATACCTGAAACAAAGAATGCAAATAAAAATTAGAGTTGTAACATTTCAGAGTTCCTCCTTTTCTTTAGAGAACATGCTCAAAACACAGTAACCTTCATCTACCTTCCAGCAAATCTACCTTGCATCCATGGCATTGTAGTCATGACGACGCCACAAGTCTCCTGTTCCTTCAAGTATGACAGTTGACAGTGTTGCCCTTGAGCTCTTAATGGCTTGGGCACTGTGGTGATGAATGAAACGTGCAGCACATGGCTCTCGGAGGAATCTAGCAGTTGTTTGATCAACTGTGTCATCCTTATTACAGAGTGGGTGCTGCCCTCCAGGGCTTGTTTGCCCTCAGAGCTCAGCTTTATTGCAGGGCATGAGTGAGAAAGAGGAATCCGGCCTATTTGCATGTGGTGTTTTGAGCTGCAGCACTGATACAGACATCATAATTGCATGATGCACCCAATGCTGAAATCATTTTAGCTCGTTGCTCTTAATTTTAAAGTTAAGTTTAAACTCTCTCCTGTTGAACTCAATGGCGCACGAGAAAATGTTTCATTGTTAATTACTTTGAGTGTCATGGGAGCCATGCATGGTGTAGTGGTTAAGAGCAGTGGACTCGTAATCTGGTGAACCGGGTTTGCTTCCCCACTCCTCCACATGCAGCTGCTGGGTGCCCTTGGGCTAGTCACACTTCCCTGAAGTCTCTCAGCCCACAGAGTGTTTTTTTGTGGGGGAGGAAGGGAAAGGAGATTGTTAGCCACTTTGAGACTCCTTAAGGGGAGTGAAAGGCAGGATATCAAGTCCAAACTCCTCCTCCTCTTCTTCTTCTTCTTCTTCTTCTTCTTCTTCTTCTTCTTCTTCTTCTGCTACCCCTCTACTTCCAGGAGAGAGGAAGCCAAATGCTGGCTCATGGTGGCTGGCAGTTCAGGGATTCCCTCCTAAGAATTTTGAATTGCCCAATCAAGGGCAGCTTGATGGCAGGGTTTGGGCAGCAGATCAGAGTGGAGAAGTCTTCTTTACGGTCTGCCACCTCGATATCTAGGCCAACTGCGCCCGAGTTTGGCAAAGAGCAACCTGCCCTTCCTCCCTTTCTGCTGTGGTTTATTGTGCATTCCAATCTCATTTGCTTCCTTTGAGCATCGTGTTATCTGACCTTGACATGGCTTAATATGGTTCACATATTTGGAGCTGGGAAGGAATTTATAAGTTTATAGTTATAAGTTTGCATGTGGAAGACAAGATGCTGAAGAAACCTAGGGAACAAGCTGAGCCAGCTCCACTCCTTTCTCCCAGTGCCACTTCTTCACGTCTCACTGAGCAACAGCAGTCTGTGTATGAGGCAGGCTTTCATTGCCCAACTCCTATTGCTGCTGAGTGGCAGATGTCAGGTCAGACTATTTCCCCCCTCCCCCACCTTTCACGTCATTCAAAGCCTAGTGAGCCTCTGTATCTCCACTTGATCTGGTGAGCAGCAAATGCCCACATAGGTGGTATCTACTCCTGCTGGGGTCTTCATGTATGCATCAGCAAAAAAGAGGACAGTGCATCAACATCATACTACCAAAGAAAGCAGGTGCAGATTTGCATACAATTTGCATGTGCTAATATCTCCCAGCAGATCCCGATTTAGAAATTACTATAGTTTAAATAGAAAATTCTGCATCTCTCCTCATACTGGGGAAGACAATAACCAGCTGCCTTGTGTTCCTCTCCAGGTGCTACCTGTTTATAGGCACTTTCAACACCCTTTTCTCCCTCATGTGGCTATTATTTGTTTTCGAACAGCCTGGATCCTCTGGCAATTCTTCAGATTGAGGATTGCCCACTGTAAAGTAGGATACATGGCCACCCTATGCATGTAGCAGCAGAGATATCTCATGTCTCAGTGGGTGGGGTGGAAGACAGCCTTTGGTTGTCATGTTGTGACTTTGTGCATGGCAAGGGTCTCCACAACCAGTCCTGCGCACACATGCGCATGCACACACAAAGGGGGAGAGCAATTGTTATATCTCCATTGCCAAATTTCCAGAACCTCATTCTGGATAACAACCTGAAGTCTGTCTAACCCTTCATGAGTTGCTGTGTGTGGTTCAAAGAAATTTTGGGGGGAAATGCACAAAAGAAATATATTTTGAAAGAAGACACATTTGTTGTGAAAAAGGCGAGTGATCAAAATGTAGTTTTATAGGAAGTAATCAGCATTACAGCTAGGAAAACATTGCTTCTTTTCTTTTTTTTCTTTTTCTTTTTTACATTGGGCAAGCCTGTGAGTTAATCAGGAGATCATTATCATAAAACACTTTTAACAGTACACTGCTGACTGACAGAGTCATGAGGAGAATGAAAGAGAAAATGAAAGAAATCTTTCAACAAGACCTCTGGAGACATTCTGAAGTACCTGGCTGTCAGCATTCCTGGATCAAAAGGAGTAGCTCCACTACTGAAATGAAAGGACACATTGGCAAATTCATATCTATTATTTTCAAAAGATTGGCAGATTATTTTGCAACACAATTTAGCAACATTTAAGTCTAGTACTGAATGGAGTTGCTTTTAAACCCGTCTTTATTGTGATACTTTTGCAAGCATTACAGCACCTGTTGGGATCACATGGAGTGGTTGCGTTCTTGTTTCTATTTTCAACAGGACCACCCCCCCCCCCAGGCTTCCCGAAAACCTTTGTTTTTCAGACTCTGTCAGCTAGCTTTGATTTCTGAGAAATTTCCGCTTCTGAAAATAAATGTGATTCAGAGGCAGAGCAATTTCAAATCTCCCTTCTGCCAGGCTGGGAGTTGGGTGGGTTTACATTGAGTGAAAATGTCCCCTGTCCAGCTCTCCCACCTAAGCCAGCCTCCTGCTTGCTGCCTGCCAGAGTCATGCAAGCCTCATTCTGTAGGTGTGGTCCTCTCCCTTCCACCTGCCAAACATGCAGGCCGGTGGAAAGGCCACTAGCATTATGCATTATGCCAGCAGCGAAGTCCCTGAAACAGGACATCCCAGAAGCAGGAAGGCCTAAGCCAGCTTAAGATCCATCAGATCCTCAGCCAGTCTCATTGCCTTTATGCTACAGCATTGGATTTGATTGCTGTGCAAGCCACAGCCCCTGCTGCACCATAAAAGCTGGGTCGAAGTTTGGATTGCAATCTAAGATGTTGTAAGCAATGTTTGATTCTTGGGATGAAGACACCAGGAGGCTGGTGTGACTGGTACTGCAGAACCCCACAGCATGGGCTAAAAAAAAAAAAGCATAATATTAAGCCTAAGAACTTCTCTTTGTGCTGACTCACTGTATCCTGGGCTACCTAAAGGACACCACATGTTTTGTTTTGTTTTGTTTTGTTTTACTTTATTCTTGTTATTATTATATATGTATTGCTTCATAAATATATTCTTGTTCAGGATATAGAACTGTGTTGGTGATTTTGGAGTTTTACTACACCTACCTCAGCAAAGATCATGTCATTTTTCATGGTTGCTAAGCAACCATTCCATCATCATCTCTCCCTTCCCTAGCTGACTTACTGGTAACAGAATTAACACTTCCATTTCAAACTGAATGATCCCTGTTGCTGCTCTTACAACATACTTCAAAGTGGGTGGTCAGGTGGCTGGAAGGAGTCCTTGGAGAAAACATAGCAGCTTCAGAATAAAAGTAGAAGCACTGTAAATATCTGCAGTAGTTATGGATACCCAATTATGAATAGTTATGTTGGTGATATTTTTGGTACCGCCTGCAAGCTGAACACCTGTAGGATTTGTGACACATATACTACTTAGAGGGTACAGCCAAGACAAGTACATTTTAAAATATTAAGCCCCAAAGGGCTGGGTAATTTTGAAATCATTGGCGTCTTCATACAAAAAACCCACAAAACAGTTCCTATGGGGAAATCACTAATCAGAATTTCTGTAATTCTATGCACACTCTTTCAGATAAGTTTTGGACAGCACTGTTACTCCTGGATAGCATTCATATTGTCACTGAAAAACACTATCAAGCCCCATACCAAAAGTACTTCAGAGTACTTTTTCAAACCAAACCAATAAAAATAAAAATGCAGCTTTGTATTCTTAAAAAGTCACTTCGCTTTTTCACTATTCATTTATGTATTTATTGTATTTAGTTTTTCCATCTTTCTTCCAATGAGCCCAAAGTGGTGTACAAGGTTCTCTCCCTCTCCATATTATCCTGACTACAACCCTGGGAGGTGTGTTATAACAAGCCAACAAGCTTCAAGGCTGAATGGGGATTTGAATTCTGGTCTCCTAGGCCCTAATACAATCATCTAACCACTACATCGCATGGGCACTCTTATTGCTCATCAACTTGTAATCATATCTCTCCACTGGCTCCTTTCCTGTTTCTTTCTCAGTAAAATCAAGTACCTAATTATCACCTTCTATACTCTTATGCAGTGGCACATGCCAACACTATGGCTGTCTTCTCCCACGTTGTATTCAGAATTTGTTATTGTGAAGTAATTAAGCTGCCCACATAGGGATTTGGGCACATTCTTCTCTGCACATTTCTGACTAGTTTCTACCATGTTTTCACTGCTTCCCTGCCATTTAACCTCATGCATCTTCAGATTAAACGTTACCTTGTTCTTAGCATCGCTCAGACTCCGCTTGTTATTCATTATGTAATACTTAATGTGGGGAAAAGTTTGGAATGTGGTATGAAGCCAGCCTCTCTACACAACTGGCTTGTTATATTGTTCCCTCCCACCACTATGATAGCTTTTAGCTCTGTCTGTCTTAATGGTGAAATGAAACAATTGGTTAATTGTTGGAAATGTTTGCTTTTAAAAACACTCATAAAAACACAATCATGCCTTAAGGAATTTTCAACACCTACACAGTTAGTATAGGGCAGGGGTCTGCAACCCGCGGCTCCGGAGCCGCATGTGGCTCTTTTACACCTTTGCCGCGGCTCCAGGGGAGGAGGCGCATTGTGCGCCCCGACACTCCCCACTGTGGCGGGCGCTGTACTGGCTGTGATGTCGCATGGGGGCGGTGTGTGCGTTAGTCACACACCGTCCCAACGTCACCTTCCCGCCCGCCCGCTACATTGTAAGGGGCATGTACGCTGGTCACTGCATTGAAAGGGGGCATGTACGCTGGTCACTGTTTTGAAGGGGAGTGAAGAACACACACACACAAAAAGGTAACTTGTTAATTTAACGTTTATTTCTATGAGGAGGAGTAATTCTGAGGGGTCAAACAAAGAAATAATAATAATAAGTGACAAAAAGGTTATTTTTATAATGACGAGTTTTGTGGCTCCCAGGTTTTTTTTCTTCGGAAACGGGTCCAAGTGGCTCTTTTTGTCTTAAAGGTTGCAGACCCCTGGTATAGGGGCTTTATTTCTTGTTCTCTTCTGATGAAAATATGGAAATTTGCAATACTTGTAATAGGAAAGTTTTTAACGACTGATGTTTTAATGTATTTTTAATCTTTTGCTAGAAACCACCCAGATACTAATATTAGTATTAGTATTAAGCAAAGAAATTTTGCTAATGGATTGAAATGATCTAACAAGAGAAAGAGTGAGCTAATGCTGATTTAGTTTTGTAGCCCTGTCTCTTGGGTATCGACTGTCCCCAGACAGGTAACTTTCTGGAATGAAGAAACTACCACAGTCACTGGCTGGCTGAGAAAACCATCCATCTGCAGAAACCAGAGAATTAATGGCCATCTCTGGTTCTCAAGCATTCCCACTGTTACTCCTATAGCAGCAACGCCAAGGGCAGCAAAACGTTTGATGTGACATCATCATATTGTGACAATACCACATCACACATTTGTACTATATGTTCCGGGGGTGGGTGGGTGAGGACCAGAAGATGCCGAGCTCATGATTTCCATGGCAGCCGCCTTTGTTGTGTTATGCTCAGTCCCAGCATGAACTGCTAATTGCTGATTTAGGAAATGTTTGATTGCTCATAGCGCTGCCTGTTATTGTCACCCTAACTCTCTATAGTACTTTGACAATCCTGGAATGGCCTTCTCCATTCCAAATCTTTTTTATCATCTTACTTAGTCCTCTTGCCTGATATAACTCCACTCTTGGCAACTCTCTGGAACACAATGGGATAAGGGATGGTGCATGGAGAAATGCCAATAGGTAGAAAATCCAGTTTGCCAACTTACAGGAGTGAAATGACTTGGTTGAGACAAAACCAACAGTGGATACATACAGCCTCCTCTTTGCCTGATAGTGCTGCTAGCATTTTGTTTGTTAAAAAAGTATCGAGACTGTGCACTTTGCACATTGTGCCAGAAGAAAGGGAGTTGCAAAGAACATGTGTTGTTTCTGAGGTCTGAAGTTGATATTTTAAAAAAATACAAGTAAACCATCTTGAGTTTCTGCTTAGGAATTGTGGAGATACACTGTGCCAGCAGGGGTCTGAGCGACTGTTAGTCATCAGTGTTTGCAGTAAATCAAACCATGGGCAGTTCTGTGAGTAAAGTGTCTGTGTGAAGGCATCAGAAGCCGGTCAATTCTAACTGGTCAGCTCCATCCTGATGCTTATGGGCCAGGGTTGGGGACCCTTTTTGACTCCACAAGCCAGATCTTTGTCAAGGTAGGCCTTGCGGACCACAATTGACAGTTGGTGGTTCTCTCAATCATGTGACCTCACTGTGGCATCATGTGATTGATGGGTGGGCACTGCTGACCTCTTGAAATCCCTTGCAGATTGAAGCAGAGAAAGCATTCTATACGTTGAACCACTTACTCCTCCAGCAGCTCCTTACCATTAGTTCTTTTCTGTCTCCCGTTCTTCAGCCCTTCTGGGATGTGTTTTTAAAGCGGCTGAAGCAAGGCTACCACTAGCACCACTTTCATGTATAGTGTTCAGTGCATTTCTATAGAAAAAAAAAATCCAGATTTTTCTTTCCTGTTAAACAGCCTTTTGAGGGTGCCTAGGTCACAGAGCTGCCATTTTCTGATGGTGGGCCTCACTTCCTTATCCCTTGTGGTGGGTATGAAACACTTCGTTTTCCCCCAACCCATTCTCTCTTTATGCTGCAAGGCAACAACACCATCCATCCGTGTTTTCTTTTCTTTTAGTTTTTCGTGGTTATTTTTGGTACTCGTGTAATAAATTTTGCCCAAGCAGTTCTAGACAAGGAATTGGCTGGCATACGTGTTCTATTTTCGAAGCAGGCAAATTGATATTGCTTTGCTGTCTCCTCTGAGTCACTCCTCCACTCGCCACCGTGGAAATCCATGGGCTCAAATTATGCTGCAGAGTCGCAGTGTCCCTGGCATCTCCAGCTAGATAACAAAACAGCTCAGGTAGCAGATGATCGGGGAGATTCTCTGCCCAAGACCCCAGGGGGCTGCTTACCGGACCAGGTAGAGAAGTAGTCTACATGGCATGGTACATGGCAAACAGAAGAAAGAATAAAAGTGGAGATTTGCTACATCTTCTGAATGGAAAAGAGAAGATCTCATGCAATGATTTATTGATAGTCGCTTGAATCTTTTCCAGAGAGGCAACTTGTTTAGTGTCTTGCTGCAGACAGAAGAGTCTTTAGAAGACTGAACAAATTTATTATGGCATAATATTTAGTGGGTTACGATCCACTCTGTCAGATGCATGACGTGTTATTGTGAGTTACAGGTCTATACAGTGGTACCTCGGGTTAAGTACTTAATTCGTTCGGGAGGTCCGTTCTTAACCTGAAACTGTTCTTAACCTGAAGCACCACTTTAGCCAATGGGGCCTCCTGCTGCCGCCGCGCTGCCGGAGCACGATTTCTGTTTTCATCCTGAAGCAAAGTTCTTAACCTGAAGAACTATTTCTGGGTTAGCGGAGTCTGTAACCTGAAGCGTATGTAACCTGAAGCGTATGTAACCCGAGGTACCACTGTATACACATTATTGGGGTGGGGATAGGATTGTAAATAGCAAGTTCAGACAAAAATTAAATGTATAAAAGTACAGAAGAAGAAGAAGAAGAAGAAGAAGAAGAAGAAGAAGAGGAGGAGGAGTTTGGATTTGATATCCCGCCTTATCACTACCCGAAGGAGTCTAAAAGCGGCTGACATTCTCCTTTCCCTTCCTCCCCCACAACAAACACTCTGTGAGGTGAGTGAGGCTGAGAGACTTCAGAGAAGTGTGACTGGCCCAAGGTCACCCAGCAGCTGCATGTGGAGGAGCGGAGACGTGAACCTGGTTCCCCAGATTACGAATCTACCGCTCTTAACCACTATACTACACTGGCTCTCATCCAGTGATAATAATTAATGGTGGCAATTTGTGAGCTCTTATGATTTCTAAGGGATTTCTTCTCTGAGCCTGGAAGCCTAAATACCCACCGTCCATTACAAAGGGGTTGAAGACCTCATGGACCTGACTGTATTTCATATAGATGTCAGTTTTCTGTGGAAACCTTTCTCCGGAAGTCTAATATTAACTAATATGTTTAAGACATTATGTACTTACAGTTATTGTATCTATTAGTATTATTTATATGTTATTTCCTTTCTTCATTTTCTTTCATTGTCTTTAATTCTTTTTCTTACCCTTTAGTTTTTTTTGTTGATTTTTCAAATAATATTTTTGTGGTAATTCACAATGCAGGTGTTGATAACACCTTTGTCTTAGTTCATTCCACAAGTGATAGGAGTTTGGGTAACCCCTCCCTCAAAGATTTATATTTATATTTTATTAAAAGTTTTCTGTGAAAAAAGAATGTGAAATAAAAGAAACATTAATATGAAAGGAAAGGAAGAGAAAAACTAACCAACACAATACAGTACACTAGAGTATTCAATAGTATATTACATAAGTGATACAGTTAATAAATGTAAAAATTATTAACAAGACATTATACTTTTAATGAACAAGGATTCCGAATATTGCTGTATTTATCCATACACAATCTGTATCTGAAAGCAATCCATTCATATGTTGCTAGAGTTGTCATATCTTTTATCCAGTATTATATTTCCAATGAATTAATATCAGACATTTAGCAGAAGTAAGGGTGTGGAGAGTCCCTTTACGTTGACTCTTTGTCAAACCCCATATAGTTGCTATATAATTTAAAATAATATCATCACCTGACAATTTAAAATTTCCCCCCAACGTAGTATTTATGTATCTTGATACTTTTCTCCCAAAAAAATTGTAAGTGTCGGAAATTGCCTAAACATACGTTTCAGTGAAGCATTTTCTTTATTCGATCTCCAGCAGCATGTTATTGCAGATAGTCACTTTCTAAGCAAGCGCAGTGGGGTCCAATAGAATCTCAATATTATTTCTTGTTGTATAAGACGTAAATATGATAACAGATTGTATCTCACCTGCAAACCACAGGTTAGGTTATTAAATACCTTGAAATATTCTCAGTTGGGAGCAGTTAGTGGGCCTTTAGTCTGGCTCCAGCAAATTTAAAGGTAAAGGGACCCATGACCGTTAGGTCCAGTCGCGGACGACTCTGGGGTTGCGGCACTCATCTCACTTTACTGGCTGAGAGAGCCGGCATACAGCTTCCAGGTCATGTGGCCAGCATGACTAAGCCGCTTCTGGCGAACCGGAGCAGCGCACAGAAACACCGTTTACCTTCCTGCCGGAGCGGTACCTATTTATCTACTTGCACTTGACGTGCTTTCAAACTTCTAGGTTGGCAGGAGTAGGGACCGAACAACGGGAGCTCACCCCATCGCAGAGATTCGAACCACTGACCTTCTGATCAGCAAGCCCAAGAGGCTCAGTGCTTTAGACCACAGCACCACCCGCGTCCCTTTGACTTTTAGGAAAACACTAAAAACATTCCTGTTTACCCAATCATTTGATGACTGATAGTGGCCATGGCTACCATGAGATTAGAAACTGTGATGATATACTATTGCTTTTAAACATTCTTAGGTGTTCCAGATGTTTTTAGATAGTTTAAAGTTGTTTTTAAATGTTTTTAAAAGGTTTTTTATTTTAAATTGGACTTTTTTTTTACAGTTTGAAGTTTGCCACCATGGGCTTCTTTTGGAAGAAGGATGGGATACCTAGTGGTACAGTAATAAAACTGATAGCACCAGTAGCAGAGCTAAGCAGGGTCTGGTATGACTTCAAATTGGATGGGAGACCATGTGTTGAGATTCTTGAATTTTGTGGCATTGGACTAGATAACCCTCAGGGCCCCTTTCTACTGTGCAATTCTATGGTTCTATGAAATTTAATAATCAAACAAATAACTACCCTAAGGAGCAGATATGCTCATATGGAAGTGTTGAGACTTTTTTCAAGCATTCTGCTGTGTGGTTTGGAGCCTTACCTCTTATTTTCAGTTATGTGCTTTTAAGCACTGCCAGAGGAGAGGATTGGGAACTGGTTCATTTGCCATTCCCACTGTCTTTGAGAGGAAGAAGTGCCCCAGTCCCATATCCAGTCCTCTTTAGCAGCTTGTTTAAAGCAGCCGTTGCAAAATTTGTTCTGGAAGCTACTTATATTAACACACTGGGCAGTGGCTGCTGCTGGAGCAGACTATTTCTTTAAAAAGCTAACTTGAACTAACAAAGTTGAGAGGTCAGTGTAGGGCAGTGGCTGCAGCCCTCCTTGGGAATTCAGGACTTGTGAGATCCTGCTGCATCAGGTGTTAATAATAATAATAATAATAATAAAATTGTATTTATATCCCACCCTCCCCAGCCGAAGCCGGGCTCAGAGCGGCTAACAACAGTAAAATAATACAGCATTCTAAAATCAATTCATTATAAAATCAGTTCAAATCAAATTGATGGCAACCATTGTTACAAGGGATCTCTGAGAAATCTGTCCAAAATGGATCATCAATATTATCTTCTCTCTGTCCATTCAACCCATATTGCAGTACAGGTTCTGTAGAAAATTCTCTACAGTGAATGCTTTTTATTTAAAATGTACACATCATACATAAATAGATATGTAAATTGCTTAGCAAAATACGTTATTCATTAATGTATATAGGTGCCTCTTTGATTTACTTGTTTCTCAAGTGTTGTTCATTGCCAAAGGAAACTGATATTAACTAAGAATGCAATTCCAACTATGTCTACTCAGAAGTAAATCCCACTGAATTCAGTGAGGCTTACTGCCAAATAAGAAGTGGGGTGAGCCTTAATCTGCTTCCTGTTGTGAGTTTTTTAAAAAAATTAGAACTGATAAGATTGCTTTTGAGGTGGGTTTTTGTTTTACAATCAAGTGGTATATAATTTTTTATGAAATAAAATAAATAAATTATACTGAACTGTGAAATCAAGGTAGGGAGAGTGGCTGAAATTCTAACCTCGCAAGCCTGGAAGCAAGCCATATTGAATTCAGTGGGACTTACTTCTGAGTAGACATGGTTAGGTTTACAGCCAAAGATGAACTTGTGATGGGCCATTAGTCAATTCTGGAACACTCCAGGAAGGCACTTGATTCACAAAAATCTGTTGATGGATGAGATGTGCATATCTGTGTAATACATTATTTTTTTAAAAAAAATCATTATACTTTGTATATTTCAACATGGAGTACTTGTATAAAATAAACCAACTGCAGTCACACAGAAAATGCCATATGAAAGTGCAAAAAAATACTGGAATGGATTAAGGCATGTTTGTGCATCCACAGGTGTTACTACCAGATCTTAAACTTGTAGAGTAGGGATAGTCCTGGCATATATTCCCCATCTTAGAAAATAATTTATGGAATATTCCCTTTGAAGTCAATGAAAATATGCTGGGCTAAGCAGTCTATCACGTATTCCTAGGACACAAAGCCAATTTTACACTGATTTTACAGTATTTGTAATTATTTAATAGCTAAGCACTCACATACTCAGAGCAAATGAATTTTTGAATCATGAATGCTTAAACAGCACTATAATAAATATTTCTACTAAGTGCAGCTAATTAGTAATAAGATTGTTTCTTACCTAATCCTCTGGAGAGAGAGAACATTACCATGTTTTTTCTTTCTTATTTCTCATAAAGTTTATTAGCACAAAAGCAATCAATTAACAATGAGATGCTAGCAGAGAAGGAAACAAAATGGATACAGAAACAGTACCTAACATAATGTGGAGTGGAAAAAAATGCAAGTATGCAAGCAGCAGATTACAATTTATGCTGCTTTAAATAGATGAAAATGCTAAAATGTATGTTGCACGGATGTCCTGTAGCATGTGAATCTATGTAGGATTTGGGTTATTCCAGTCTGCTGTGATTAAATTCCAAATTCAAGTAGCAACGTTAAAGTATTCTTCTCTGACATCTCCAGGCATGGCATTTTTGTAAATTAGTTTTCTATGCTAAATGATCTTCCCAGTCTGCAAACTGTTTAATGGTGCATGAGCTGAGCAGATTTTATTCTAGAACATGCTTTGTTTCCTAGCCTCCATGTATTAGATGAAGGTTTGGGAAGTACTGGTACCATTATGCTTGGCATTGCTGAAGCCATATTTGGAATGCTGCACGCAATTTTATCAGCTACGTGATACATTCATGGAGGATGAAATCAAGCCAGCTGGAGAACGAAGAGGGTTAAAAGCGTGTGTTGGGATGACATTGTTTTCTTTAAAGCCTAAAACGCTTGTTCCATTGATTTCAGTGGGTCTAAGTACGACTAAGTCAGGGTCCAACCCAGTGTTTCCAATGTTCATGTTCAGTTGTACAGATTTCTTCTCTAAACTGAGAAATTACCTCTGGAGGAATTCCTTATATTATATATC